AGGGTCCCTGGGACCTCCCCATGCCCGGGCCGTCTGTCCCTATGAGGGCAGGGCGGGCGCTCTCAGCACAGCCTGGGCTCGGCCCTGACTCCGCCTGTGTCCGCAGCCCTTGCTGTCCCTGAATAACTCCGTGGCGACGCGGTTTGTGGACACGGGGGACGTGCGTGTGACGGTGCAGGCTTCCTGCGGGAGCTCCGTGCTGCAGGCCTCCAAGGTCGTCCGCGTGCTGGGTGAGTCCTCCGGGCGGCAGCGCCGTCTCCGTCCATCCCATCTCCGTCCGGGGTCGGCGCCTCCTCATGAGTCTGCGGAGCTGCCTGTTCCGAATCCGCGTCCCATGGCTCTGGGCTCAGTGGGGCCCTGACCCTCGTGGGAGGCATCCCAGTAGAAAATGTCTCCTAAGGATGGAAGGGGCGACCCCAGCCGCGTGCCGTGCCCTGGTCGCCGGTACAGACGCGTTTTGCTTTAAGAGCAGCTGGCCCTGCCCGGCCGGCGCAGCACAGTGGTTGAGTGTCAACCAGGAGGTCACGGTTGGATTTCAGTCGAGGCACGTGCCCAGGGTGTGGGCTCGATCCCTCGTGTGGGGCGTGCAGGAGGCCGCCGGTCCATGGTTCTCTCTCATCATTGATGTTTCTCTCTCTCTCTCTCTCCCTTCCTCTCTGACATCAGTAAAAATATATTTTAAAAAGCCGCCGGTCCTGCGGACAGCACGGTGCTGCCCCCGCCCTCCTCATTGTCATCATTGCTGTTAGCCGATGGCCGAGGACGGGCACGGCCTGGGGTGCACTCGGTGGTCTGGACCATCAGGGTGTGTGGCCGCCCCGCCAGGTGCCCGGCCAGGCTCCCAGGACTGAGCAGCCCCCCATCTCGTCCTCTTTCCAGATCAGTTCCAGGTGGTGCCTCTGCAGTTTTCCCGGAACCTGGACACGTACAACCCCAACACCCCTGAGTGGAGAGAGGACGTCGGCCAGGTGGTCAGCTGGCTCCTGGCCAAGGTGTGCTCACCGCCCCCCCAGGCCATGGACCCGGCAGGGTGGGGGGGCCTGGCTGCCCACA